ACAACCTAATTTAGATTAAAAACTGTTCATGTTGCATGTATGCAGCATCTTTGTTTGGATCATGATTAAAATGCAGTGGTTGCCTCTAATTTTAAATGGAAAGAGCACAGACAAAGCCTGAGTTTGTTTATATAAAGAGATTTATTTGATTTGTGTTACTTATTTGATTTGGGGCTTGTTTTAAAATTTAAATTTTATTTATGTTATTTACATTTACATTAGCCTATATTTAAATTTTGTTATTTGATGCTTTTATCCAAAGCGACTTTCAAATGAGGACAATAGAAGCAATCAAAACCAACAAAAGAGAAATGCAAGTGCTATATTCGTATATTATTATAGTGTTATATTTCAATTTCACAAAGAAACATGCAGCATTTTGTCCAAGCAAAAATAAAAGGACACATTTAATTTATAATTTGTCTTAAATCTCATTTTGTAAAAAAAAAAAAATTGTGAATCAAATCGAACTGTGAAATCAAAATCGTGAATCGAATCGTGAGTTGAGTGAATCATTACATCCCTACACAATTGTATGTGTTGCTTATTTATCTCCCATCATGTATTAATTCTTCTGATGAAATTGCTCAGGTTTATTAAGTCTTCTGAGAAACAGCAAAACGTTGGAAAACAGTTGCATAACAAGTGTTCAAGAGCTATGCCAAGCTGGCTGTCATCACATAAATCTGTCCAATAATGACTCTATTCTGCCGCCTCGATTACAGCTAAACTCGAAAAATGTGCCAATTCATTTCTGCTGCTTCACAACAGAATACCGATGATAAGAAAGTTAGAATAAAAGCTAATTGAACCCAACAATGGTTTCGATTTGCACACATCTGTATGTGTCATTCCTATGTGAAAAATAACACACTACTGCCAGAAAACATAATCGCTCACCCATCTGTCCGCTGAGTCATTTTCACGTCGAGTTTCTCATTCACACACATGTGCTCGGTGCTAATTAAGTGTAGGGGATGAACCGTGGTAAACATCTGCTCAAAAACTCTGTTGAGGTGGTTTCCCAAAGGGAGACTTTTTAAAATAAAATAAAAATAAAAATAAATAAAAAGGAATTTGATGATAAATTCGTTTATTAAAAGCAAAATATGAGATCTCTGAAATTCTAAACGGTATGCATGTCTTCAGAAACATCTGAGATACATAAGGGCCTCACATCAAGTCTGATATTTATAACAACAATTAAGATATAGTTTTAAAAATAATTGTACATTCAAACGAACAGCAGAGTCTACTCCAACTGCAATGATAATGGAACAGGAGAACAATACCGTTGCAATCACTTGCAAAGCAAGCAATGATTTTATTTCATTCTGAAGAATGCTATTGTGAATCGGTGTAGACGGAACTTAAAGGTGTAATAGGTGATTGTCTTCAGAAACATTTTTTGTTATGCTGGTTGAAAGTCTCTTCACATTCCGATAGCAATCATTAAGTTAAATGGTCTAAATGTATTCATCTGTATTTATATATTTTGTGGAAGGCGTAGGACCAAGAAATGTTCATCCAATCAAAACGCTCGGTCCGAGCGTTTTAATAAGCTTTCCTACCTGCCTGTCAACGTAAGTATCTGCATACCTCTGCGCACCTGGTTCGCGCAGACAGGACACGTCATCAGCGCATTCACGCACGCTGTGCAGACAGAGCGAGGATGGCAGGCAAACATCGACAACCTGATCTTCCTTCCTGGTATTGTAGTGCTTTTATAGTTTTCTCACCAGTGAATGACGCATGATGTAGCCCAGCAATTAATCCAGTCCTCGCACCCCCCGCTCTGGATATTTTGAATGTCTCGCTTAGTTAACACACCCGATTCAAATAACCAGCTCGTTAGAAGTGAGCTACGTGCATGAACTGTGTTCCGATCGATATGATCCCTACACAGTGTTCATTGCTCCCTCCTCACTGAGCGGGGGAAATACGTTGAAGTTTACTTCACTTCGGAACATGGGCTGGAATTGGGAACCGCTGATGTAGCCTATTGTAGTAATGTTGTCTCTGGTGTTCTGGTCTGTGAGTGAGCGTATATGCATTCAGGGGGCGTGGCTTTGGACGGCGATTGCAGGGCGGGTGGGACATTCGCTTTCAGTGCTATCAGGCTAAAGTTAGCATTTTCCAAGATCTCCTATTGCGCCTTTAAGACATGCGATAAATGTGATAAATAAATGTATTATCAGAGATCTAAATTGTCCTTTTTTAAAGCTGCAGTCCGTAAATTTTGCCTCTTTGTCGCCATCTCTGTTTAAAAACCTGGAATTGCAGCTGAGTGTGGAATTATCTAGCTTGCGTGGGTTGTGAGTCGGCGCAGCTCCAGCGTGGATGAATCTAATGTTCTGAAGAGTATGTGGAAGTCTGTCACCGCACCGGTGTGGATATTTACTGTACTTCGCAATCACAGATTCTAGCCTACGTCTTGGAATATGACCCAAATAAGAATTTTCACTGTATATTGCCATCTGAACAAGTAAGTAACAAGTCTGCCACGTTTGTTCTGACCAACTGAGGAAAAACGCATTACAATAAATCTCGCTACCAATGGTGATTAAATCTAAAGATCGGTTAGCTCACATCACATCAAACCATTCAAATTATTATTATTGTTATACTTTATTCTCAAATGATTAATGTTAACAACATCAGCATTGGTGACTAACGTGTAGATTTCAATTTATGCACAGTCTAATCTAATTGTCATACTCTTCGAATTTCATATTTAAAAATTCTTTTAACCCAAAAATCAAACTATGCTCCCTTCAAACTGGTTTTCTTTAAAATACAAATCTTTGTATTCCCAGGCTATCTGTAATCAGAAGCACATTTATAACTGGAATATAATTAAATTTCATTCACATGTGTTTCATAAACACATAATCCTTTATGGATTACAATCCGCCATCAGAATGATACATTTAATTATTCTGGCTGCTGTGAGAAAAGGCTATAAATGATCCGCCACCTGCAGGATCCTCACATGCGATAGCCTACTAGCCGGGACAACTTCATATTTACAGACATGACGTAATGACGCAGTGCCATGCTCGAATTTCCTGCGAAAACCTACCCATACCACTCGAATTAGAAAACAATATTATAAGCTAACCGTTGTGAATCGGGCTAAAGTAAGGCGATAGTTTTGAACACTGGCTGGTTATGTACTTGCTCAAATATTGATTTCGGATCATTTTTAACCAAAAAAAGTTACGGACTGTAGCTTTAACTATGGGGTGTGCTACAATGTTTCTGCAAATAAAGTCTTCATTTTGCATTGATTAAAATATATAAAAATTAAACATTTGGTAGTTCTCAATTTTTTTATGTAGTAAACAAAAAAAACTGTCTGGCAATCCAATAATGTCACAAGGTTAAAGCTGTCGTAACAAACAATAATGCAAGCCTTTTGCAACTACCCAAAAAAGTCCCAACATTACAGCTTCTAACAATCAGAGTGCACACTGAAACAACCTGCAGAACAGAAGCTGGGAGGCATGATCCATGTCTCTCCATTTAAATGTCAGAGTCACCGAGGAAAGAAAACATAACTACACCGCCGCAAATAAAACGTTCACTCTTGTTGTACAAGCACGTCAGTCCTTCTCTTAGCCTGCGCTTTGGCACCATTTAACAACACTGACGCAATAAGAGAGCAGGCCACATACTAATAACATTCTTGTACAGGCTATTCACAAGGAGGAAATAATTGCTTGTTGTGCCCCAGCCACTTTGTCCCACTGTTTTTATCCAATTTTTCATCTTGTTTGCTTCTCACAATCAAGTGTCATGGAAAAAAGAACACATAAATCACCCTCTTTTGAGACTCACCCTTGACCTCTGAGAAACTTAAGATGGCTTGTAACATAAAATGGAAAACTTTCACAAATATGCACATAAAGCGAGTGCATTACGTTCCAAGCTTTTAAGCACACAGTAAATACTCACAGGGATTTCAAACTATTTGTTTGGCTTAACTTAAGTGCATTTTTTTTTTTGCTTATCTAATTAGTTTTAATTAATTTATTGTTACATAGTAAACCCACAAAGTGTCCTAATAAAAATGACTTGAAATATCAAAACATTTCTTGATGACATTTACTTCCTTAGAGAAAGACACGCAATACCTAGTCCACTTTACTTGAGTCAAATAAGTATGCTTACCAAACTTACTTGGAAGTCAATCGGTTTGCATACTTCTGAAAAGTACAAAATCAACCAATTAGATTTTACAATGTAGGTGGGGAGGGGTTGGCTAAAGCGTAATTTAATTAGCATTAATTTACATACGAAAAGAGTTACACAGTTAACACTACGAGTAGTGTATGGTTAAAAGAGAAGGTTATAAGGTTCCAGTGTCCTGTAAGATAGTAGATAGACTGAACGTGTGCCAATACTGATAAGCTTAATATACTGTATCTGTGACTTGTCTCAAAGAAAGTCGAGCTCTTAACGCTTCAACACAAGCCGACGAGAGTGGACTGACACGAACACGCCCCTTTTATCTCATAAAACAAAAGAAAAAACAAGAATATGAAACACAAACCAATAAAAAAATAATAGCAACTTATACTCTGCATGCGCTGTATGTGTGTGCGTGTGTATTTGGATGTACGTGCACGGAGGGGGAGGGGCTCAAATGTTTACATTAAATATTTTACGAAAACTACGTGAAACACTTTTGAAATGCTGTTGAATGTCCTTCAAACTCAAATACTAGTTATTAGAGCAGATGTGCATCGATTTACGTGTTGTTTTTTCAGATATTCTAGTGTTTAACAGCTGCAAATCACTGTAAACTCACCATGTGGACAGAAACCAACAGGACTGGTTTATCGCGGAGACACACACAAATACACAACATACCATGTGTTTGCATTTGCAGAGCCCTTTAAATACTTTAATAACAGTTAAATACACAATTCAGTCTCATCCAGTCACCGTCTTTACAAGAAAAGGACGGCGATACTTCACGTGCCCTCCAGACGTACCTGTTCCCGTCGCTTCTGCCAACGGCCGCAGGGGCTTTCCTCCAAGATTTCACTCTCATCTTCACTCTCCTCATCTTTCCCCCCGGACCCCGATATGTTCTCTGGGACGGACATAGTCATTTTGCCCTCGCGTGCTGCTTTGACTGCTCCTTTAAGACCAACTGAGCACGCAGGACCTCCTGAGGCTTGCTGCAATGTTGTAGCTGCAAACGTGTTTCATTGACGAATATCGCTGGTCACGACTTCAAGTTACAGTTTAGTCGTCAATCGCATATAAATACTGCAACACGCGATGCGATTTGCGAAAAGCGTTTTTAAAGCGACATAAAATATTCAGTTCTATGGTGAATTTAATCCCATCCTTAAGGATTCTCAGAAAAGGATCACGCTCCGGATAGCATACAGTCTCGTACGTGACTGTAGGTCTCTGGACGCTCAGTCGCAGTCCACCCTGAACATACTCCGTGTACTAAAGAGCCCGACCTACAGGCATCATTTCATCTCAGCCCAGCTTTCTCTTCTGGCTGGAGCTTTCTGAATTTCCTCTTTCTAATGTGCTACCGTAAAGCTTAGACAATATGCACAGTGATCCCTTTACTGTTTTGTCATAAAGCAATTCAGTGCATGTCAGATTACTCAACCAAAGTCGTAATTTACACAATGCAAATGGTGATTGGTCTATAACCAAAACGGCCTACACATCAAATAATGCTTTAAATCACAATACACGTTTGCAATGTTGCCTTAACATGCCACTTAACACAGTATTGTATTGAGTTCCTAGTAAATAGTGACTGAGTGTAAACAGTGAATTGTGAATGTAATTTAGCCTTCCTCAAGTCAAGGCTTGCATGTGTGTTCCAACTAGTATTTAAATGGAGTGACAGGGTTTAGGCATGTATGAAAACCTTCCACATCCTCTTAATACTTCTCGGATCACATACAGTGGCCCCAAAATGATTATTTGCCAGTTTTTCAAACAAAAGGACATTTACTTCTATTTTTAAGAAATATAGTACAAGTACACTTGACAAAACAAAATTTCTGCTTCTATTTTAAATAAATATATAAATAGATAAATGATCATTTAAAAGTTACTACACCTGACTCTGCTAAGAAACTTGAGAGAAACCTCATATAGTATGCTCTAAAAATTACCCTAAGACTAGTTGATTAAAAGTAAAATTACATAAATTCTACGAAAAAGGGAAGTTAGTTCTAGGGTCTTGCATCATGAGTAGCCTACAATGACATTTAGACATTTTTAAGAGTGTCTTAGGTGTCCGAAAGTGTCCAAATACTTGTCCAGGGCTACTCATGTTTGTGGAGTATCTCACACTCACTGACCCTTTCTACCTTTAACTCTCTTATTTGCAAAATCCCACGAGAAGTTGCTTAAGTTACTAGGTGTAGTATGAATACATTTGTTGCTAATGTGCCAGTCTTCAGTAATTGTACTTGAACATCACTTTAATATTTTGTTTTTAATGAACAAATATGAAAATACTCACTTTTTACCACATTATTAATCAGATACTACAAGTTTATTTCACCAGGTATCCCACTTACATCTGTTCTGTGCATTGTTTTGCTTTCCAAAAAGTTTTACTACAGTCAGTTTAATTCTTTGAAAATCATCTTCAATTTAGTTTCTTAGAAAAGCACTTCTACTAAATTCTCCCTGGGGCAACAGCTCTGAAAAACTTTTTTTCCTGCCAGTTCATGCCTGCCAGAATGACTGTCTGTTCTCTGTTTATTTTTGTAAATAGAATTCATAGGAACGTTCAGTCATCTGTTACTGGATATTTTGTGCCATCTGCTGGTAAAGTCATGTAGTTACAAATGAATATCTAAAAAAAAAACACATATAATATTTGACACATGCTTATCTAACATGGGTACTTGTGTTGGTTGTGTTCACATGTACGAGCTGTAGTTTTTGTCACCCTAACAGGAATAAGTCCTTTACAATATTTAAAAGTAAACAATAAAGGTTCGTTCATGCAACTCATTAACTTCAAATGTCTATCATTAAACAATCATCTAGCCACACTAGTCACATACAGCTCTGAAGATGTGATGGAACAAACTAGAATATGGAGAACCTGAGAAGAGTCATTGACAACCAGCTTGATTGTTTCAAAACCAGTTTTCTGTGCCAAAAACTTCTGCATTGCTTTGACACAAAACACAGTGAGGGCACAAGTCTGAGTGACATAGTCCTGGAGTCCATCAGGGCTTACAGAAGATTTTCCAGGAGGTGTTTTTTCCCCTCAAAGGTTAGCAAAAGCATGACAACCTGACAGTGGAAATATCTGCTCTGCTTTTTGAGTGTTCCTAGCCTGAGAATGAGCATATTTATATGATTAATTTTATTATTTTTTATTTATTTTAATCTGTATGAAGTAATTACGTTATGAGCACCCACAGTTTTAGATAATTTTTTATGTCATAATTTTATTAAAAGTAAATACTGAGGAAACTACGTTAAATGGCAGATCTATGTTAAGAACATTGATTTAAGAATAGTCTATTCATTTTAAAATGGAAGTGTTATTTTTATATAATGGCAGGTAAAGTTATCTGATGTCTAAGGAATCAGTTGTCATAATTTTATTAAAAGTAAATACTGAGGAAACTACGTTAAATGGCAGATCTATGTTAAGAACATTCTATTGATTTAAGAATAGTCTATTCATTTTAAAATGGAAGTGTTATTTTTATATAATGGCAGGTAAAGTTATCTGATGTCTAAGGAATCAGTGCTGGCAACTACAGTGGTGGCCAAAATTATTAGAACATTAGTATTTTCACCAGCTAAAAATGGTTTTAAGTCAGTTATTTTTATCTTTTGCTGTAGTGTGTTAGTTGGAAATATCAGTTTACATTTCCAAACATTAATTTTGCCATTAATTGTAATAATCCAGTGAGTTGCACAAGGAGTCTGACAACAGCCAATGCTCCACACATAGATCAGGGGCCGTATGTATAAAGCCGCTCAAAGTAAAAGTTTAGTCTTAAGTGTGTCAAAATTCTAAGAATGACGTAGTTTTACTCTTATTCCTAGACTTAAGAATAAGAGTGATTCATAAAGGTTCCTACGTGTTAAAAGAGGTCTCAGCTCCTAAATTATTTAAGAGAGCTGGAGAGGTCTCCTAACCTAGTTAGGAGTAATAAGATGGCAGCAAAGAGGAGACGACAAACACTTTCCAGTGAAAATATGTTGGACTTATATGATAATATGGAGTTGATAAAACGATACAAACTTAATTGTAAAGATCAAAAAGTATTTTTTGATAAAATCTTTAACTGATAAAGTAAAAAATGAAAGCATTAGTAATAATTTGTGATAATTTTGCACAATGCAAAGCATTTGAAAATACATTTAAATTAAAATAATTCAGTCTTAATTCAATGATTTTATTGTAGTTACATTAAATTATTGGTGTTGTGCTGCTGTGACTTTACATGAGCAGGCTCACTATTGGCTGATTCAGAGGTTGAGG